TCTTGCCCTTCTATCCTCTTCATCCACCTCCACCAGCACCCCACGCCACTGCTGCCACCTTGCAAGAGCAGGGGGGGAAGCTTGCCCCGCCGCTCCCTCTGTTCCCCACCCTGCATCACTGCCACCTCTTGCCCCCCTGCTCCGTCCCCTCCATCCCCGCCATCATGGTGGTGCTCCGCAGAGCACTCTATGTAGAGCACTCTGATTGGTTATTTCAGTAAGCATTGTGATTGGCTGCCAAAACAACCAATCAGAGTTTTCCAAGAGTGTTACAGACAGACAGACAGACTAAGCCCTTTATATGTATATAGAATTAGCTTAAGGTTTGCCAAACTCCCTGTATGGACACACTCCATACAGCGCTTTGGAAGCACAGTATCTACCTCACCTAAATACACTCTTAGCGCACAGTAAGAATGGCCACATAGGGAGGTTGCGCAAAGAAGTTGGTGTCTAGATTGCAGTCAGAATGTCATTCTTACTGGTAACATTCTGCTTGGTCACTTTGAGTTTAAAGGGCACTTTTACACATGCTACGACACATTCTGATGAATTGAGTCTGCTCTGATTAATCAAGTCTACTGGAGCATTCTAATCAGAACGCTCCAGCATGCTACAGTGTCTTGTGTATTCAGCAACCCCATGTTTCAAAATGGTTGTGGGAATGATTTTTTAGTTAAAGCGCCCCCGCCACCATTTTGAAATGCAGGATGCTGAATATATGACATGCTGCAGGCGTTTCAGTTAGAGCAGCTCTAAAATGCCCCCACCCCCAACCCAGAGCACATGTATAGGTGCCCAAATTGTCAAGCACTGTAGTTAAAGACACACTATTAGTATAGATAATAGACTTCTATGAGAGGGATTTGTTTTACTTTTTATTTTAATTTATGCACCAATAAAAATTTGCATTTTGGTTTAGGCTGTTTGAAAAATATCTTGGAATTGAGATACTGAAAAGGAGTTTAACATTTTGCAGCCATTTTAAGTTTCAGGATGCATTGTTATCCTACAAAGAGAAACAAATTCAATGTGAAATTCTTGTCTCATCCACTTGGGAGGATCTATTCCCTTTTCCAGTATTTCTTTCTCCAGAGAGTGGTAGATATTTTGAGAAAGCCACTGGATAAAGGTTTTTTATACAATGGAATATAGTTTGGGAATCTAGAACCTGCCACCATTGTTGAACACCTATTAAAATACAATGTAAATTGTAAGTTGTGGAGCAAAAAATTAACATGTTGAACTCAGGGCTGTCCAACTGTGGTCTATGAGGGGTTCATATTCAGCTGGGCTCCCACCCAGATGTTGCTCCCTCTGTCATTCTGGCTGCTGCTGCAGCTGGGGTCTCTAGGTCCCCCTAAGTCT